GATTGGTTCCTCAGGATTGTCTGACCTGATGCAGAGGAAGCTACGAAACGCCTGGACTAAGGCGAAAACCGTGGCTGATCTACTGCATAATCACAGAGCCTACGCGGCAAGCTCAAATGCTGAATACGTGTGCCACAGATTCCAACTGCCCAAAAAAAACGGGCATGTTCGGGTCAGATTGAACGAAGTCCCAGATACTTCGCCATTTGTCCATAACTTAAGAAACGTGCCTTATCCCGATCGGGTGATGAATTTGAATGAAATAAACAAAGGCTGTCAAACAGCTTTCAAAGTCCTTGAAAAAATTGGGATTAAGGACACCTTCAGGATATCTGCAACAAAACTAACCAGACCTGCACCTTGCCTACCGACTAGGGCAGTGTTAAGTGAGTATGTGTTGGGATTGAAAGGTGCGCTTGACGATCTTGTACTGTCCCCTATAGATCGAAATCCCGGGGCAACGCTCGTCGAGTGCCCTATTTTATATCACAACGGGATGAGGTCTACATTCAATGACAATGCTGATTTCGAAAGAATTGACACAAGGGAGGAAGATGTTTTAAAGGAGATGAAGATAGACTTTAAGAAGAAGATATTGGGAAGGATCGCAGGATGGGATGGGAAAGGTAAACTCCAAAATGCCTTTATCATGAGCAAGGACAAGGACTTAAATAAAAAACGACCAATTTGCCCCTCGTTCTTGAGTCCTGTTCGACACTGCAACAGACAGTTAGTAAAAGTATTGAATTTTCTCATAAAAAACACAAAGAGCCAGCACTTCAATTTGATGGCTGGGAATGAATTGAAGAACTGTTTGCACGGTGTCAATTTAAAGGTGCAAAGTCTGAACATGAGGATCCTTGCTCAAACATTCGATATAAAAGAGATGTTTTCGAGAAACCCTCATGATGAAGTTCGTAGGGCCGTGAGATGGATTTTTTCGGAAGCTAAGGACAAAGGGAAGCATTGGGCCAGAGTTAAAACCAAAGGGAAGGGCGCTGTGTTGGGAAATTCTGCCGGTGAAGGCGGGTGGAAGTCTGTACGACTTCATGATTTGGAGAACCTTGTTGTTTTCAATTTGGAACACTGCTTCTTCAAATCATGCGGGGAGATCCTGAAACAGAACAGGGGTATCCCTATGGGAGGGCAAGCAAGCCCTCCTCTTGCTTGCTTGGTTTGTATGTTTGCCGAAAGTCAGTTCCTACGAAGCCTAGGGAAGGATGCTAAGTTGTTGTTTGGCAAACGCTACGTCGATGATCTGTTGCTAATCGGGTTTTTTAGAAACAGGGAAGACGAGGCTCTAAACCGAATGAAAAAGATTAGCACTTGCTATCACAAGGACCTGAGGCTTGAAAGAACTGACAACGGGCACAATGTCGTCGAGTTTTTAGAAACTAAGATATTTGTGCTCGAAGAACCCGTGGAAATTATCTCCATGCATAAGTTCAAAAACTCAGACAGTATCTGGGAAAACCCTGGCAAACCGAAGTATATGATTACGAGGCTATTCTCTACCTTCGGCCCAAGGAACAAAAAATTGCCACGTTAGTTGGAACCATTTATCGAATCCACGCGAACACTAGTTCAGAGGATTTGTTACCCCTCGCCATCATAACCTTTCACCGGGAGCAGAAGGGTGCGGGGTTCCCTAGCCATATGATTTTCAATGCCCTGAGAAAGGTGGCCGAAAGAATAAGGGGATGCTGGCCACAGATGGTTCAGAACATCGCCAAGTGCTATGAGGGATGGATCTGACCTGCTCGAACGACACTCATCCACCTGGTCAGGAGAATTTTGTCACTACTATGACAATACAGGCCGAATGCTCGAGGGTCGCCTTGTTTCGGTGGGTACGAATCCAGACGATCTCCTGGGGATGATAATTTTTTCTCTAATAAGTTGGACGCTACACCTGTATCACCGGCGTGACGGGACCTGCACCCAGATATCGACCGGAGTGTGACGTAGTATGGACCCTCCTCACGTTTTGTCAGATTCATCGGACTTGGACGGTACTCTTGTTTCTCGGCGCAGACACAGCGTGCCGAATCTTGTCCTTTTGGTATCGTGTGTCTTTTTCGCTTAGATTTTCGAGGATCCGGGACGAGGTCCTGCCCATCCCGGTCATATCGAGACTTAGCATATTAATTTATTAAATATGTAGGAGTTTTTTCTAGTTTCTTCGGATTTTAAAATTTTTGCGAATTTTCGTGTTTTAGGCGGGACACTGTCCAGGGACTTGGTACTCTGGACCAGCCCCGAAGGGACAGGATGAAAGTTTTTTGGGTATTTAAAGGTAGTGAGCGTGCGCTCACACACAGACTGAGCAGCATGAAGTAGAAGGTCTGGAGTATGGAGTGATCCATGCGCTGTGCTGGCGATGTAGTATGCTGTGAGATGTAATCTTCAACTACATTGTCTTTATAAGTTTTTCAAAACAGCAAAGAAGCAATGCGAATACAAATCACGACAATATAAGGCAACGTAGCACAGTGGAAGACTCCGATCATGATCTGACTCAGTAGACTTAGAAACTCAACACACAAACATCAGCGCACATGTAGAAGGGCAAGGAGGGCCTGCATACATAGACAAAAGGTCCCTCCTTGCTCACACACACATGGGGAGAAGAACCACGGATGATGGAGATGCGAGGAAACAGAGGAGAAAGAAGGGAGAGGACGAGAAGAATAGCTCGAGATAGCTGACAATAGTCTCTTCCAGCAAAGTTCAACTCATCTCCTCTAATGTTGAATCTGAATCCCCTACAATATCAGGCCTGAAATAGTCACTCTCCGAACTCCCTCTCTCTCTGGGATAAGAAGAAGAAGAAGAAGAAGAAGAAGAAGAAGAAGAACTCCCTCTCTCTCTGGAATAAGGAGGAAGTAGCGACTATGGAGGGTTAGAAGAAGAGTCAAGAGGAGGAGGAGGAGGAGGAGGAGGAGGAGGAGGATCTTCTTCTTCTCCTACTCCGTCTTCTTCTTCTTCTTCTTCTTCAAGAAGAAAAGAAGAAGAAGAAGAAGAAGAAGAAGAAGAAGAAGAAGAAGAAGAAGAAGAAGAAGACGGAGCAGAAGAAGAAGAAGAAGAAGAAGAAGAAGAAGAAGAAGAAGAAGAAACTCTCCTCTCTCTCTCTCTCTGTCCGTATGAAGTCCATCGGTATGCAGTTCGCTGAAGAAGGCCAGTCGCTGACCGGAATGAAGTCCCAGCTATGGCGCCCAGGTAAGTCCCTCTCTCCCTCGTGGCTATGGCCACCTCCAGCCTCTCCACTCCAGACTGGTCACCTACTCTAAGACTACCACTCTCCTAAACTTCCGCTGTACTCCGGCAGCGTGATGCCTGCCTATTGCTCCAGCACTCTGTATCCTCAAACTTGAGGGATGGCCCAGCCATATACCGTTGGGCCTGGTTGGGCTGCCCTCGACCTGCAATCAGGACCCGAGTCTGATCGATGGTCCTGATGGCAGGCCCAAGTCCTGGTCCTGCATTTGTGGCCTAAGGTCTGCAATCAGGACCGTCCGATCTAGAGTCTGATCGATGGTCCTGATGCAGGCCCAAGTCCTGGTCCTGCATCTGTGGCCTAAGTCGTCCTGCCTGGGTCCCTATCGGACATCTAGGCGGCCCTACTGCATCAGCCGGGCTGGTCCAGAATGGACGAGGACTGGGCCAGGCACCATAGACAAGTGCCTGGTCCAGTCGAGATGCGGATGGAACTGGTGCCTGTTCCGACAAAAAAAATAATATGAAACGACACCATCTGCAACAGACAAAAGCAGACCAAACAAAGTCAGTCCCAAGCAAGCTCTGGATCTAAAATAAACAAATAAACAAATGCTGAAAGAAAAGAAAATGAATAGGAAAAGAACAAACCAGGCCCATAAAAAAAAGTCTGTGGCCCTCTAGGTCGCCCAAAGTACAGGAACACACGGCCTGGGGGCCGAAGTGCAATAGTCGGGCGTCCTAGGGGCCCGTGCAGTACATCCCAGCATGCTACACCCACAAGTGGTTAACAGGTACCCCCACTTTTCGGTCCTAGGTTAACCCCCCCAACCCTGAAAAGTGCAATAGGGGAGAACTTGTTGAGTTTTTTCAACTTTTTTTTGTTTGTTTGTTTTGTTGCCCTGTTTTATTATTGGTTGAGGTCTGTGTGTGCCAAGTTCGGTGTTTGTTGGACTGGTGACAAGTCTGGCTTAAAAGGTGTGGGACATTTGTTATAATGACCCTGAAAAAACCCTGAGAACTTAGGGCTCCGTTAACCGCTACTCTCTCTTCACCTTCAGTGGAAGGAGAAGAGAAACATGAGATCTAAACCGATCTTAAACCCCTCATCAACAGGACCCTTACTAAGGCCTTGTTGGACTGTGGGGCCATATGGAGTCCATAAACTCCATCCGGGACTCAAGGTCTCAGACCTGGAGCAAACTCTGGAGAACTAGGAGGGAAATTTTCAATCAGTCACAGTCCGGCAAGTTCTCAAAGGTGTGCCAGTCACCTTTGATGCAAAGGGAGAAGTCAGACATATTTTGGACTTCTATGTGTTCCCGCACCTACCCTTTGACATGGTCTTGAGTCTAAAATGGCTAAGGGTCACTAATCCGACTATTGACTGGACCGCTTGTAATCCAATTGAAGAATTCCAAGGGTGAGGTAAGACGATACGTCTCAGGTAAAGATTACCACCCTTAGGCATCTTGTTATTGCCTCAAGGCTAAGGAATTCTACAACCTGTCTAAACAGAATGACCATCAAAAATTGTTTGTTGCCTACATTACTCGGACTGATACATGCACCCTCAGTATTACCCAGTTATACAACAAATCACTGATGAGTATGCTGACTTGGCATAGGAACCTACTGAATGTGCCCATAGGCAGACCAAGGATCACGTCAAAATCCTTTGTGACTCTACCATTCGTAAAGGAAGGGTTTATAGGATGTCCCGTGCTAAACGGATGAAGCAGTTAGAAGACTAACTCAGAAGGGATGGATCCAGCGTAACTCACCTGAGTAAGGGGCACCAGTCCTCTTTGTTCTAAAGAAGAATGGGGAACTTCGAATGTGCATACACTACAAAGGTCTCAACAAGATCACTGACAAGAGCTGTGAGCCCTTGCCTAGCATTGGTGAACTCTTGGACATGGTGCAAGCCTGCAAAATCTGCAACGAATTTGATTTGGAGTTTGGATACCATCAAATCGAAACGACCAAGGAAGATGTCTACAAGATAGCCTTCAAGACCAGGTACGGTTTGCACTCCTTACAATATGCCCAACTGGCTTTATCAAAAAAAAAAAAAAAAAAAAAAAAAAACACTTATCAGTATGTAGTTATACCTTTTAGACTTTGCAATGCACCTAAAACCTTCCAAACCGAAATGAATAGAATCTTCAAGCCATTCGTTGCTCGATTCATATTGTCTAGTATGTCTACTTGGATAATATCCTAACATTCAATAAAACAATCAAGAAATATACAAAACACTTAAAGAAGGTTCTACAGGTCCTAAGAGACCATAAGTATAAAATCAACAAAGAGAAGTCAACCTTTTGGGGTTTCTTTTATCTTGTACTTGAGTCGTGTGACCTCTTCAGAGGGCCTGGTCCCTGAAGCCTCTAAGGTAGCTGCTGTCCGGGAATGGCCTCAACCCCAAGAAGTACAAGATATCAAGTCATTCATGGGATTGGCTTCCTAGTATAGAAAATTCATTAAGAACATCTCTATTATCGCTACTCCCCCCTTCAAATAAACTCTTTAGTGTCCATTGGGTTTCACTAGTTTGAAGTACGCCTCCATTACCTAGACACTTGTGCTAAAACTGCCTAACCCTACCTACCATTCGTTTTGACCACATATGCACGTTTGTATGGTGTTGGGTCGGTCCTTCAACAAGATGATGGGACTGGTCTAAAACCCCTGTGATTCATAAGGAAGGAGATCAAAGTAAAAATGATACATGCTTCTACTTATGTGAAAGTACTTTATGCCTCTATATATTATAATCACTTGACCTTGTAGTGGATGATGACCCAGGGGGAGCTAAATGATAAGCTGGGGAGGTATATTCAGTTCATAGACCTGTTTAACTTTGAATTGAAACACAAAAAATGATACTATAAGCCTATAATAGAGTTGCGAATGCGCTTTCTCGCATACCTGATACCTTTGCTGCCATTGTGCATTCTTACTCCTTTGAGGATTCAACGAGGGAGGCCATTGCAGAGGTGTTGCCTTAGGACCCTATCTTCGGCCCCGTTTGCAGAAATCCGCAAATGGGCCTCAATTTTGAGCCAGGTAATGCCCTGACTTCATAATTGTTGTATTTCACCAGCAAAGGAGAGGAACGTTTGTGTATCCTTGATGTCTACAAGATTAGGACTCGTCTCATTGCTGAGGAGTCGTAAGGCTCACAAACACCTTGGGTTCATGAAGGCCTATGCGATACTGGTCCAACAGTTCTACTATCTGGATATGAAAAACAATGTTCAAAGGTACTTAGACACTTGCAAGATGTAGCAAAGGAACAAGGTCCGTAGGGGACCTCCTATGAGATTCTCAAACCATTGTTTTGGAAACTGAGTGTGGAGATACAGACAAAACTGAAATCTCCCATGTGGTCCAGATATGGAGCGATGAAGGAAGCGGGAAAAGAAGAAAAAAGTCTCTTTCCAACGACTATCTAATCTAAAAAGTACCATTGAACTTCGTCACGTGCTGCGCAATGTCCTTTTCCCGGTCGGAAAGGAGGAGGAATGCACTTCGGATCTCGGTTTTGAACAAGCGACCGATAACGCTCTTCGCAAAGCTCGGAATCCGAGTCAGAGGTTCACAGTCTTACTGCTTTCTCTTTGAACTCCTCTTCGCCACGTGTCCGATAGATGAACCCTTGGGCTCGGAAGTGCTAAGTGCGGCAACAATCACTGCATAGCGTGTGAGGCCAATGCGGAGCAACCTTTGGCCACGGGACGACAATCAACTTATTGAAAGGGAGCAAAGCATAGTAGGGTTGAAAATGAGTATCAACAATCACAAAGCCCGAATTAACAAATCCAGAGCACTTTGTTTCAGAAGGAAAATGATAAGGGCCACCGATCTTGGCTACGACTTCTCGAACGTCCCACTCGCAGATATGTGTCCTATTCTCATTATAAGGGAAAGGTAGTGCGTGGGGATGTTTGAGAAGTCAGCAGCTCGATGGCTCCGACGACTCAATCCACATGGCCAATACACACGCATCCACCATTCACAAAACAAGGCGATCAAATCCCATTAACTTCGGGAATCACCTTCACAGAGAAAATTAGGCAATACGGTGTTGACTTTCACTCTTGATGTTTCTTCATGAAGGGGGATTACCCAGGTAACTATTAGATGAGTTCAGGAAGAAGTTTTCTTGATCGACAATTGTGGGTTCTTCAGAAAGAGCGAAGACGAGAACAAAAATAAGTCCCAAGCGACGACAACAAAAATACTCGGATTGCTACATGGGATGGGCATTCCCTTTGAAGCGACAAGGGGAGCAAAGATCTTCACGATTTGAGTAGCTTTAAGGGATGCATTCCAAAACCCTTCGATCAAACAAAACGAGTCATTCATTCAACAAGAAGATGAACTGAAAGTAGAGGGAAGATTATTGATTGATTGGAAACACTCTTCTTGAAAGTGGTAGACTGTACCGGGAGACGCGCTGGCCTCGTCGATTGGAGCGTGGAGGACACTTCCAACAAAATCCTTAACTAGAGGAAAATAAAAGAAAGCCGCACTCATCCATTCATCATCTTTTCACCAGTTCGATCCTAGAAAGAGTAAGGGAAAGAAAGAAAGGCATACACTTTATTAAATGACCTTCATTGGCTCTTTTGTTTCAACGATCCTCGCCCGGTGAGATCTTGACAACGAAAGGGCACAACGGCAGGCGGAGCTCAAAGACAAATTCATTCACATGCAATCATTGCAAGCTAGGCACGGACAACAACCATCCATTCACTCATACATCCACAAAGAGAGAAAGAAAATGAGAATATACACTCGCATGATTGAGAAGAAGAAAAACTGACATCCCGCCATGCAACTTAACTCCAAATATACCATGAAGAAGAAGAAGACAAGGCACTCCAAATATAGGATGAATAAGAAGAAGACAAGGCACAAAGGACCTTTTGCTCTCGAGTTATAGCCCTAGGCCATCCAACCAACCATCAACACATCCCACCTTGCTCGAGCACTGGCAATCTCGGCCGCACGTACCCCTCGCTAAACCCTGTTGATTGTCACCCCGTCCACGCAACTACTACTCGGATTCGCCCGGATCCTGCTGTCCATCGCAGCGATCCATAGTGAAATCCCGTAGAGTTCCCGCTAACTCGTCAGGACTTTCTGACTCGCTGGTCACCACCTCATCTAATCATTACTCCACTAGAGTTGGCCGATGTATTGCGAGAGAGCAAAAACGGTGCGAGAAGGAGGAGAGGAGAATGACGGGGAGAGATAGAAGAGGGAGGAGACGAGAAAGGGGGAGACGTGCCGAAGGGCCATGTCAATCCTCAGAGAGTACTTTGAAGTCAATCGGATCGCAATGTGAGGAGCTCAGAGCCTCCTTACATGCTGCCATCCGACTTCTACAATTACTTGGGGGATCGATAGGGCCTTCCTTCGTGTAGGCGAAGGAGGGAAAGGAGGTTACGAGAAGTAGTACGGGGCAAAACCAAGATTCAACAGAAGCAAGTAGAAAGGAAGAGCGCCAAGAGAGGGCGAAGACAACAACTACAACTTTGTCGATGATGACATGAAGAAAGGGGTTAGGGAAGCGAGAAAAAATTGTGTGCAGGAGCGACGCGAAATGGTAGTGAAGCCGCGCCTAATTCTTAGAGCCGAATTGAAATTGAAAATTCCGAAAGAAAATTCGGCAAGTGAGTTATAAGGCCCGTTAATTCCTACGTCAATTCCTATTCTATTATCCATCAACAAACATTTCACGGGGCTTACAGGGACATCTCCTAAATGTACATGCACAAAGAAAGGACGTTGCAAAGTATCCCAATAGGCACCCGCGATTTATGGGTGCGCATAAATCCTACTACCCCAGTATCAGCTCTGATTCATGCAACTACTATGGTAACAACACGTAAAAGTATAACAAAATGGAAGGAAAATTCCGAAATTGTAAAAAGGAAAAGTCAAGATTCGCCGACGTGTCCCATGCATTGAGGCCCATCAAGGACAAGCCCTACGATCGGCGAGAGACGAGAACCATGACTGAAATGATATGAGCCCGACATCACCATCCACTGAAAATGCGATCCTGGATTGGGTAGAGGAACTGGAACCGGATTAGATTAATTAGAGAGGTCTTCTCGGAGAGGTGGGTGAGTTCCCATGGACACCCAACCTCCATTATTAGTGACAGAGACCCGCGATCCTGCAGTGATGAGTGAGTCCTTATTGCAAGGAGTATTTGCATTCTAGGCTGGACATAACATCTGGCAGACATCTTGAAGCCAATGGATAGGAGAAAGTGATAAACCAGATTCCATTCCACCTGTTGTGACCTGTATTCACATCCGATCAAGAGGACTGGGACAAAAATCTGCTTGGGGCCCGACTGATGTATAACACTTCGATCCACATCACTATTGGATGTACGCCCTACAGTCTACATTGTGTCAGAGATCTATTGATGGGGGAGACCTCATGTTAGTGTAGAAAATCCGCATGGATGCTCTCACAAATATCAAACATGACCAGCCGGACGAGGAATTGCAGCGACAATGTTTTTTCTTCTCTGATGCAAGCATGCCGAAGTGCCCAGATCCCTGAGAGGATGGCTGCTCGAACCATTTCAGACACATATAAAAGGACTGGGATTTCATCCAAGAGATTGGCCCCCAACATGACCGAAGCATGCAAGTCGTTCAAAAGGATGAGTGGGGAAAGGCCCTGGCACAACTGTGGCCATAACCACCAAAACGGCCAAGTCCATTGTGTTGGTATAAGAGGCAAAGCAGAAGGGATTGATACCCTGCCGTTCACCTCGTAGGCACCATCAGCTCAGAGGTCCTTGCTCCCAGGGA